GCAGGAGGAGGAGGCGGAGGAGGAGGAGGAGGAGGATGAGGAGGAGGAGGAGGAGGAGGCGCCGTCGGGCCGAGGTCGGGCCGAGGTGGTTCTTTGGCGCTGGGGCCAAGACGACCCCGTCGGGTCATGAACATATCACTGCGGGGGGCTTGTCGCGATGTTCGGCCTCTGTGGGCCCTCCCCGGGCCTCGGGACTGTCAAGCAAGGATGAGAAGCCAGTCCCAGGGAATGGGTCGATATCTCCGGGGGCCGACATTATGAATCAAATCGTGGCGTCGGGGGCCTGGGACAGGTACCCACATGCCGCTGCCCTTCCCGCGCTTTCCCCTTTGAGGGGCTTCCTGGGAGGCCCTCGTCGCCAACGCTGAATTCGCCTCGACATCTTGGTCCGAACGCGCACTTGGAGAGGTCTGGGGAGCAGCGGTATTGGCACCTTTTGGCTTCCCCAGTTGACACCTGTGGACTGGTTGTGATGGGCCAATTTTCCACCAACCCTACCATAGGAAGGACGGGGACAAGGGAGATGGGGAGGTCCTCCTCCTCCTCCTCCTCCTCCTCCTCATCATCATCATCAGCATCAGCATCAGCATCAGCATCAGCATCAGCATCAGCATCATCATCATCATCATCATCATCATCATCATCATCATCATCATCATCATCATCATCATCATCATCATCATCATCATCATCATCATCATTATCATCATCATCATCATCATCCTACCTATGCTAGTGGTGGTGGACAGTCGGCCCATCAAGCCGGGTTTCGGACGATCCAGGTCAAGTGTGAGGTGCGTCGAGGTGCCACGGAGAGCGGGGCCGTCCCCCGAGGCCACTGGCCTGCTGCACTCGCATGCTCAGGCGGCTACGGGCCAGCACTGCACCTCCACGCTTCGCAGATTCTCTCGAAGAGGAAAGAACGCCATAAACATAAACTGTTGGCGCTCCGCGCGGATCTCTTGGATCCGCGCTGGGCACCCCCGGCGGCGCCTCCGGCACCGCCCCTGGCGCGCTCCGCGCGCCAGGGAGGGGGGGGGGTCCAGCGCAGGTCCGAGAAGCCCGCGCGGAGCACGCAAGTTTCCGTGTGTGCCAGCTTTTCGTTCTCGCATGGCGTCTCGCCCGCGGGGTGCCGTGCGAGCCCGACGAGGCCAGTGCCGTGCCTGCTGCGCTGTGCCCTCGGCAGTGTCTCGGCGCGCCTCCTCCGTGCCCCGCCCTTCGCGCGCCGCTCGGCCGCCACGAGCCTGCCACAACGCGGGAGGCATGGGCCGGGGGGGCAAAAGTCGACCACCAGATGGGTTCTGGGGCTTATGATTGAGTCGGGCGTGTCCCCCTACAGGGTCCTTTTCGACACCAAAAAAAAAAGATACCCCCAAAAAGGCCAAACAAATATTCCAAAAATAGTCCCCATATTAGTTTTGGATTCATGTTGATTATTTCTGGGGTATTTTTTTATTCTTCGTCGAACATCCCCCTGTAGGGGGACACGCCCGACTTAAGCTTATGATGTCCCAACCTAATTTAGCCTAGACCACCCGAGAGAAGTTCGAGCACCCAGAGAAGTGCCCCAACTCGAGGATTTTCGCGCGTCGGGCCCTGGGGGGCTCTCGTCCGACACCGTCTCGACACTGTTCTGCCACTCTTTCGACGTGCTTCTGGGTGCTCGAACTTCTTTCTGGGATGTGGTCTTCAAGTACGATGGGAGCAACATAATCTGGGGCGCGCTCTCACCTGGGTTTGTCTGTGGGGGGGGGGGGGGGGGGCAGCTCTTTCGAGACCCCCCCGCGTCAACGACGACTGGGGGGGGGTCACGACTGGGGGGGTGTCACGACGTCATGGGCTTGTCTGGGGGGGGGCAGCTCTTTCGAGACCCCCCATACGTCAGCTCACTTCGTCAATTCGCATCGGCACGTCAACTCGGCACGTCGACTCGGCACGTGAGCTCGATGCGTCAACCCTGTTCGTCAACTCGTTGGGGCAGCTGGGCTCCAGAGTGCAGTCTCCTCAGAGGGAGGCTCCAAAAGGGGAGGCGGTCTCTGCCACCCAGGCGAACGCTCTGATCAGAGCTTCTGCTGGATCTGGGCCAGGCCCGTCGGAAGGGGGCTCGGGAGCGTCCCGGGGGGACGGCCTCCGGATGGGCCCCAGGGGAGCGTCGAGGACTGCTCCAGAGCGGCGCCCACAGCCCTCGCGGCTCCCGCCTCGCTCGGCAGATCCTGCGTGCCGACGCTTCAAGAGAGTACTGCAACACCGTGAAGTATGCAGGCTGGAGCCTCAGACCCCGTCTCTCTGCGCCATCTGCTTCGCGCCGGGTCGACCTGCGAGGGCGACGGCGCCCGGCCCGAGCAGCTCGAGACGCCAGGATCTCAGGGGAGATCCGGGGGGCCGCCTTCGCCGCCAGCGCCGCCGCCGCCGTCGTCGTCACCGCCGCCGCCGCCGCCGCCGGCGCCGCTGCCCTCCTTGTCGCCGCCGCCGCCGTGGCCGTCGCCGGAGCGGCCGGCGGCTCGGATCGGGTGGGTTGTGTGCCCTGACCTTCCAGGAGGGCTAAAAAATAGCACCCGACTTAAAAACCTATCCCGAAGCTATTCTACGTCTTGGTTTTAGGCTGTTTCGCTCGGCGTTTTAGGTTTTTAGGTCTCCAGTGCTAAATTTAGATAGCTCTCTGGAAGATCAGGGTGGTGGGGGGTGACCTACACAGTGGAGGCCCCTGCCAAGAAACACCCTGCTTGCCTCCAGGGTGCCCTGGGTTTTGTGGGTGTCGACGGTCTTGCGACGGAAAGCGCGACGTTCCCACACTAGTTGAAAAACCGGTGGACGTCCTGGGGTCTCCGGCTTGGGTTTCTGGTGGAAGGCTTCCTGTGGACTGGCCTCCAATGTGTGGGTGCTGGAGAAGGGCCCCTTTCGGATCCTCTTCTCCACCCCCCATTGAGGTCCCCCCCCGTTGCCACCCGCCCGATCGGAGGATCCCTGAGATCCGACGTAGCGAAAAAGTTGCAACATCGTGAAAATCCGCGCCTGGAGCCCCGGACCCCATCTTTCTGCGTCATCTTTCTAGCCGGATCGATCTGCGAAGGCCCCAGGGCTCGAAAAAAGGCGAAAACGCCCGGCTCGAAGAAATGGAGTCGCCAGGATCTCAGGGAAGAGCGAGTCTTAAGTCGGGCCTGTCCCCCTACAGGAGGAATATCCAAAAATTGTAGAAAAATAGTCAGGGGACTATCTTTGGATTATTTTTTGACCATTTTGGAGCATTTCTTGAGTATCTTTCTTCTTCGTCCAAAATCCCCCTGTAGGCCGACAGGCCCGACTTCAAGCGAGTCGCCAGGATCTCAGGGAAGAGCGAGACCTAGCGACGGCGCAGCTGCGGAGTCGTGCATGTCCTCCAACAGGCGGAGTCTGGAAGAGAAACACAACATATTCAAAGCAGACATTCGGGCGCTGCCCCAAAAGAAAACCGTCCCAAGACTACCATTTTACTGTTTTGGCGATGCCTTCTGTCGAGGGACATGCCCGACTTCAGTCCAAAATCCAAAAATCCAAAAATCGTCCAAAACCCAAATCCCGACTTCAGTTCACACTGATATTTCCCTTCCTCGTCCAAGATCCCCCTGTAGGCCGACGGACCCGACTTTTGAAGCGAGTCGCCAGGATCTCAGGCAAGAGCGAGACCGAGCGAGCCGCCGGCTGCGCGACGGCCCCGAGGACTGGGACCCCACGCGGCTGCTGGGCCCCACCTGGGCCGAGCGGCACGCGCCGGCGCGCACCGGCGCCGACAACGCCCGCTACCTCGCGGAGCACGCCCGGAAGCACAGGGCGTCGGACTGCTGTCCCGGGGCACAGGGGGATTTGGGACGAAAAAGAAAACCAAGAATTGCTCCAACATGGTCCAAAAAATAATCCAAAAATGGTCCCCTGACTATTGTTTAATATTCTTGAATACTCCTCCTGTAGAGGGACAGGCCCGACTTAAGACTCGCTCTTCCCTGAGATCCTGGCGGCTCCATTTCTTCGAGCCGGGCGTTTTCGCCTTTTTTCGGGCCCCGGGGCCTTCGCAGATCGATCCGGCTCGAAAGATCGACGCAGAAAGATGGGGTCCGGGGCTCCGGGCGCGGATTTTCACGGTGTTGCAATTGTTTCGCTACGTCGGATCTCAGGGAAATCACGACTGGAGCCCCGGATCTCATCTTTCTGCGCCACCTTTCGAGCCCGATCCATCTGTGCCCAGGGCCCGAAACTGAGCGAAAAATTCGGCTCGAAAAACTGGAGGTGCCAGGATCTCAGGGCTTGAGGTCCTGAGAATCGAGGCTGTCACGGTGTTTTATTGCTCCTGGGCCTTCGAGGCACACGGCCCTGTCTTCATTGGGCGAGGAGGAAGAGGAGGAGGAGGAGGAGGACGAGGAGGAGGAGGAGGAGGAGGAGGAGGAGGAGGAGGAGCAGCAGCAGGAGGAGGAGGAGGAGGAGGAGGAGGAGGAGGAAGAAGGGGAGGAGGGGGAGGAGGCGGAGGAGGAGGAGGAGGAGGAGGAGGAGGAGGAGGAAGAAGGGGAGGAGGACGATCGGGCTCAAGCTTTTGGGATGTCTTCGGCCCTGTCTTCTGGGCCTCTGGGAGAGGCTCCTCGTCGCCAAGCGGCCCCGGGGCCCACGGCGTCGTGGATTTCTTGTCGCAGCGTGTGCCTCCACGGCCTGGACTCACGTCGGGCATCTCCCTGGAGAGATATCCAAAGACAGCAAAAAATGCTCAGGGGGGCGACTTTTTGGGGGGACTAGTTTAGAACATGTCTTTAGCCAAATGTTTCACTTTTCTTCCCAAAATCTGCCTGTATGAGGGCATGCCCGACCTGAGCCTGGACCCCTTCCCTGGCGCCTGGCTCTTTCATTCCGAGATTGCTTTGGCGCCCCCAGGGGGTCGGTTCACGTGCCCCCAGGTCTCGAGGTTGACTGTGGCCGACAACTCTCCGTCGTGGGCTTCTTCGTTGCGCGAGTGGGTCTGGGGTTGGATCCGCATCGAAGTTCTGGTCAGCACGGGTCTGGAGGTCTTCTGTCGCCTGGCCGCGTTCCCATGGAGCGTCTGCCTGAGCGCCCGGCGTCTCCATCTCTCTTCCTTTGTGCCCTCCTTCACGTGCTTCTTCTCTTACCCCCGCTCCTCTTCACCCTCCTCCTTCCTCCTCCCCTCCCTCCTCGTCCCCTCCTCTTCCCCTCCGTCCCCCTCCTGTTGGTGTTGTCATCATCTTCCTCCCCCTCTCCTTTTCTTCCCGCTGCTGCTGTTACTCCTCCTCCTCCTCCTCCTTTCTTCCTCTTCCTCATCCCCTATCCCCTTCCTCACTTCTCCAGCGAACTCTGCCGACGCTTTCTTGTCCTCTTCGTCGTCATCGTCGAAATCGTCAGCCTGCCCCCCTGTTGCAGCGATGTCTAAAGCAGCATCAGCTCCTCCTCTTCATTGTCCTACACTCCTTGAGCTCAAGTTGCACCCTGGCGCTCGCGACAGGATCCCTTCTGGACCTGGTGCCGGAAGAATGCCGGTTGCCACTTCCTGGGAAGGACCGCTATCCATCGGCCCGTCTCGGGGCTTCCCAGAAGGAGGAGGAAGAGAAGGAGGAAGAGGAGGAGGGAGAGGTGGGGGAGGAAGAGAGCAGAGGGAGTAACTTCAGGAGGTCTTTAGTGCCTCCCCCCTGTTTCTCTCGGCGGGGAACAAGCTCGCCCCTCCGCCTCCTCCTCCTCCTGCTCCTCTTCTTCCTCCCTGTCTTCCCCTCATCCTCCTCCTTCCTCATGCTCCTCCTCGTGGTCGTTATCGTCGTCGTCGTCGTCGTCGTCGTCGTCGTCGTCGCGGCGGAGATTATATTGTCGGGCAGGCTGGATCATGTTGGGGGATTCTTTCTCCCAGGGAAAAACTTTAGGACGAAACTTTAGGACTAATCAAACATTTGAATCGAGAAGACGGGCACCGACCCAGAGGAAGTCAGGATTGCATTGAAGAAGGGGATTGTAAAAGGTATGTAACTCTAAGACAGCAGCTTGGGTCAACGATGCCGCTGAGATGGTGTTGAAGGGCATTGCGGAGGATGTGAAGGGGGAGGTGGGGGAGGGCGTCGAGAGTTGAAAGAAGAAGCGTAAGGAACATCGATTAGAACAAGATCTGGGGGGCAACCCTGGAACGTACCAGCACAAGCAAACAACAACAAGGCACCTACAAGGACTGTTCCACAGCTGCAGTCGCAGGGTTTCTCTGGAGTCAGCAGTGGCGGAGGGAGGGGAAGGTATTCAGGTATCTCGGAAGGCCTTCCGTTCGGTGTCCACTCCGCCGAGAACCAGGTCATTGCTGATTCCATCGTCATCACTGACAATATACATTCATATACATTCGCTTATGAATTTTGGGGCGAGGATTGTTGCGATGTTGCTGGAGATTGGCAGTCGGAATTGGGACGCGTTGGCATCCACGGAAACTTGGAGGGAAGAGCACGGGAAGTTTTCATGACCGACGGCGGCCACCCCTGGTTCGGCAGCGGCGGCGAGAAACGCCGAAACGGAGTTGGTATTCTTCTGCATCGGCGGTGGGCGCATAATGTGCTTTCTGCGCTGTGAACAGTCGTGCCGCAGCTCTCGATACTACGGCGTCGGGTGCTCGATCTCATATGTTTGTTGTCTGCATGCCGCATGGCGCCATGGAAGAGGAATGCGTAGGCGCCGCCCATGCCGTATTAGACGACGTCGTGCACCGAGCCAAGAGCTCGACAGAGTCGGGTGTTAGCCGCTGGAGATGTCAACGCCGAGGTGGGCCCCCGGGCCACGGACGACGACAGCGACATCACGGGAGTGAGCAGCATACGTGCTCGCAACGAGGGGGGCGATGTGTGATCCCATTGGTATGTCGACGACAAGTGTGTTTTGGCCAACACTTTCGGAGGAGATGGCGAGGAACAATGGTGGACGCATTCCAACAGAAGCGCTTTGAAGCAACCGGATTGCATTTTAGTTCCTCAGCGTTTTCACAAAGATGTGGGTCAATGCTGAGTGGCTGAATGGTTCGACGCTGGTTCGGGTCACAGGGCGCTCATGCTGCGTATCGCTGTTCGCCCCGTGAGTCCAAAGGAAGAGAAAGCGTTGGGACAGAAACGTCGACAAAACAACATATTCTCCAATTCCTCAGCGTCGCGCCGGGAGGCACGAGTAAAACGGTTTCGTTGGAGGAATCGTTGCTCGATGCGTTGAAGCAGGCGTTTCTGGAGAAGAGAAGCCCCAAGAAGAAACGTATTGCTCTTGATTCGAAGATCGTTTCGCCCATTCGTGAACGCAGAGGGCTCCGGAGACGGCCAGAGCTGGATGCAACCGAGAAGAATAATAAACGGTTCGAGCTGAGCGAAACGATCAAGAATCTCATCAAACAGCGGGTCCAGTCCGAAAAGACAGAAGATCGACTCGACGCTGAAGGACTTCATGGGGATCTTCCGGCTATCGAAAACTCGTCGTCCTCAAGAAGGAAGAACACATAACCAGCATCACAGACGACGAAGGTGTGACGCAGATTGCGATGGCCAAAATCTCAGAAGTGTTCGCGCGTGTTTACGAACAGCTATATTCTGCAAGTGACAGTCGATCATCCGGCTACTTCTGCCACAGTGCCCACATCCAGGAGTTTACCAATGACGGGTTGGATGCGGCTCTGTCCAGCATGAAATCTGACAGGTGTGCTGATGAATATGGTGTTGTTGCTGAACTGCTGAAGTGCAGCGGTCGGCGCTTTCGTGTTCGATTGTTAGATTTGATCAATGACATACTGAAGCCAAGGAGAGAGCCGCCAGATAGCTGGCGAAACACCCACCTTGTTGTTTTAGCCAAGAAGGGCGACCAGAACCTTGATAAGAACTTCCAGCCAATCGCAATACTTCCAATGATGTATAAGGTTTTCGCCAAGATGCTTCGCAAACGGCTGCAACCAACCATCATATCTGAACAAGCTGCGGGCCGATCAGCTTACAGGAAGGGGTACTCCACCAAACACCACCTTCTAGCCGTGACCTTGCTGGCAGAAGCCTGCTCAGAATGGAATGTGGATTTGTGGTTTGGTCGAGTCGATTTCGAGAAAGCCTCTGGTACATTCGAGCACCAGCCCGGCGGGATGCATTGCGCGCACTTGGCGCGAGTGGGACGCATGTGGTTTGATTGCAAAGGTGTACCGCGACCAGACCGCTGTTGTTGCTGCCAAGGAAGATTCCAGACGGTTTAAAATTCAGCGGGGTGTCAAACAGGGAGACCCCATCAGCGCTGTGCTCTTCATCGCGGTAATGGAGGTCTGCTGTCGCACATTGAAGCACCGATGGGATCATCTTAACAAGAGGAGGCTGGGCAAATTCTACTGCGTGGTTTTCGACGCGCCCAACGACCCGCTCACAAACTTGCGTTTCGCAGACGACGTATTAATTGTCGCTGGTGGACGTCAAAATATTGATATCGGACCTGCAGACAAAAGCCACGAAGTGTATGGACTCAAAGTCCATATGGGCAAGACGAAGGTGTTCATTTACAGTTGTGGGCACTTACCTGAGCGTGGGATGGCAGCTGCGCGTGGGGGGCCTTCACGAAACGGGGTTCTCGAACAAAGTGAACGTTGTTTGGAGGTGCTTCGCAAAGTTCAAGGACAGATTGTGTTCCTGGTCATATCCGTTGCACTCAACACAGACTTGTTCACGCGGTTGTTACCCCAGCTCTGCTTTATACGCTTGCGAATGTTGGACGATGGATTCGGCCTCCAGCATTTGGCTCTGGACGGCGTGGAAACAAAGAACGGGGAAGATATTGCGCATCCCACGCGGAGAGGCTGAATCTTGGGTCGACTACATCAAGAGGACCACGAAGCACGTCGAGGCCAAGTGCGCCGAGTGGGGGTACGAGAGCTGGGAAATCACGCAGGCGGCCCGCAAGTCTAACTTAGCAAAGGAGAGAGACTTCAAGAGGCGACTCAGCAAAGTGGAGTCGCAGGCTGCTCTGGTGGAGCCCCTGGCATCGATGTTGGCCAAGGTGACGCGTTGGCAGACCGCCGCTTCGATGGAGCGATTCTGTCGCAGAGCAGCTGGGGTATATATATGTGTGTGTGCGTGCGTTTGTGTGTGATAGCAGCGCTGTGTTAGTTGTAGTGCGCGCAGCATGTTGTAGGTTCTTTGTACGTTTTCATGTAGCTTGTAGTCTTGAGCGCCGCCTCCCCTTTAGGGGACCGCTCCCGCGGAGCTGGCGCGCAGGCTGAGCTGAACTGAGCTGAACTTTCTCCAAGGGGATAATCAATTGTGGGCGACTCTACACGCGAAAAGATGTGCGAGCATCTTCTCATTGGCAGTGCAATAGGTATCAGCACTATTGGTTGCAGTCGTGATGAGAGTCGGGGTTGTAGTCGTGATTGTAATCGTTATTGTAGTCGCCATTGTAGTCGTAACCGTAGTCGCAACTATAGTTGTAATCGTCGTGGTCATCGTAGCGTAGTCGTAATCGTCGTCGTCGTCGCGGCGGAGGCTTGTTTCCCTCCGTTGTTGGACGGTCGTGATCATGTTGGAGCTTATGTATCCCAGGGAATCTCGCTCCCTGGGCTACCCTGCGCGTCACATGGGAATTCTAAGCACGTCTGTAAGAACATTGCAATACAGACCGACACATTATTGGCCGAATGCGCTGGTCACACTATCCTCCTTCATCTCGTCGTCGGCGTCGCCGTGTTATGTTCCACTGTTGGTGCGGCCCCGGTCCGTCAGTAAGGTCGCCGAACCTAGAATCTATTTCCACGATTTGGTGAGGGAGTCGAACAACCTATCTCGGTGATCGAGGATGGATGAGACAGAGGGAAGGATAACGAAGAGGTGGAGGAGGAGGAGGAAGATGAACAAAACAAACACATGCAGTGTTATTGATATGATGAAGACTCGAATGATGAGGAGGAGCAGGAGGAAGGAGGAGGGAGGAGGGAGGAGGGAGGAGGAGGGGGCGTCTGTCAGGATTTGGGGGATGGAGGGAGGGAGAAGGGGGAGGAGGAGGAGGAGGAGGAGGCGGATGATGATGATGATGATGATGATGATGATGATGATGATGATGATGATGATGATGATGATGATGAGGAGGAGGAGGAGGAGGAGGAAGAGGATGAGGATGAGGATGAGGAGGAGCTGGAAACAGGAAGAAAGAGGAAGGTGGGAGGAGCAGGAGGGGAGGAAGATCAGGAGGACGTGAGGAAACTTTGTTAGCAGGCGTTTTTTGGAAGGGGGGTGTCGCTTGGGGAGCGTTTGTCTGCTTGGCTTTGGGAGGGTACGTTTGGCTTGGAGAAGGCCCTGGTCCATCGGCCATGGCTTTAGCCGTCGTTGTCGTCCTCCTCGTCCTCCTGGTATCCTCCTTCATAGTCGTCGTCGCCTCTTCCTCCTCGTCCTCCCCCTCCTCCGCGGCCTCGGCAGGAGCGGGTCCGGGAGGCGGCTGCTGGTCTCTTCCAGCTCTTCAGCGGAAGGAGAAAGAAGCACAGACATAAAGTAATATATGGAACATATGGGGACAAATATCGGGTTGGGAGGATGGGGTTCGGAGAAATGATCAGATCACCTGCATTCTCGCGCATGCTGAGTGCGCTGATTTCACAGTGGTGACCTGTATCTTCCCGCCCCCTTCCTCTCGGAGGCGAGCGAAGTGGGAAGTGAGAAGGGGCGGGCCGGGCCTTTTCAGAAGGATCGGAAGGCCGCCTGTCTTTAGATGAGTTTTCTAAGCCTTCCCCGAAGACACATCACAAAAACTTTTCAGACGGCGCGAGGGCCTCTGTGAAGCCCCGCCGCCCTCTGAGAAGGTTTTCTCCTGCTCATTTCCCCCCCTCGCTCGCCGCCAACCCTCCCAGCACGATGGCTGGCCAGACACGCGACGTCCCGATTTTTCCCATACGGGGTCCCTGGAAGTCCCAACCCTTTCCCCGGGGCCGCTTCTTCGTCTCGAGTCGTTTTTTTGACGACCCCGAGGCCCGGCGACCCCCCCCCCCCCCGAGGCAGAAAGGGGCCAAAAACCGCCCGCCGCGATTGGTCTCGAGGCGATCGCGTCTTGGTTTCTCAGTCTTGAAGCCCGCCACTAATCGTTGAGGCGACGGTGCCCTTGACAGTGGCGAGCGCTTGCCAGGCAGAGTTGGCAGCACTCTTGGTTGGAGTTGTTATGATTCAGTACCTGCTGAAACCAGACATTCAATCTGATACTCTCTGCAATGCTGTCCCCGGTCTTTCTGTGGCGGCGATCTCCACGCGCTGAAGACGATGGCCAAGGACCTGTTGCCAGGCGTGGAGGTGCGAGGCTGGGCGGCGGGGCGGAAGGGAAGCGTGTAGCGTAGCAGCTGTCACACCCAAGCGACGCGCTTAGCAGGAGTGCGAAAAAGGAAAGGAAAGGAAACCCGCCGCTCTCCTCCCCCTCGCGCCCTCGCGCCGCGCACCCCTCTGCGCCCCGAGGCCTGAGGGCAGAGAGGGGCCAGAAGCCGCCCGCCGCGATCGGTCCACGACGCGATCGTGCCTGGGTTGCTCAGCCTGGAAGCCCGCCGCTCTCCCCCCCCCTCGCGCCCTCGCGTGGCGCACCCCCTGTGCTGTGGCAGCGCCGGGGGCGGCGGGCGCCCGCGCGCCCGCGCAGCTCGAAGGCCCCGCCCCGGTGGCCTCCACGGGGGGCGCCCCCCCCCGACGGCGGAGGCGCGCCGCTCGGGACACAGGCTGCGGGGCTGCAGGGCTGACGTGCCGGGCCTGCTTTTCCACTACCGCCACCGCCATAACTTGGATGGGGATGGGGGTCCTCCTCCTCCTCCTCCTCCTCCTCCTCCTCCTCCTCCTCCTCCTCCTCCTCCTCCTCCTCCTCCTCCTCCTCCTCCTCCTCCTCTTTGTCCTCCTCTTTGTCCTCCTCTTTGTCCTCTTCCTCGTCGGTCTCCACCTCCTTCCCCCCTCCAACTTATGGTGGTGGTGGTGGTGGAAGACAGGCCCATCATGACGGGCTTACGGGCACCCGGGCACCCGGGCACCCGGGCACCCGAGCCCAGACCTGATCGCGCCGTAAAAAATCAGGAAGGGAGGGTTTGGCCATGTTCGGCCTCGGGAGGCCCTCGCTGGGCCTCGGGGCCGTCAACAGAAATATGCAAGATGAAAGACCGGTCCGGTGGAAAAGGTCGGGATTTCCAGGGACCCCGTGTGGGAAAAATCGGATCGGGATTTCCAGGATCGGCGACTGCAAGCCCAGAGATCCAACGCGTTGAAAAAAAATCAAGGCGGAGGTTTTGCGCAACTCTCGGCCCCTATAGGGGCCATCGCCAGGCCCCGGGACCGTCAACGAACGATTCTCAGAGGCGACGATAGGGGCGAATAGCCCGTGGGAGAGCAATACATGCATTCAAGTGCGCCGATGATCCATGCCTTCGAAAAGGCTCCCGGGCGAATGCGTGTAATGCCCGCCCCTGGGCTATTCGCCCCCATCGTCGCCGCCGATGATTCAGGACGAAAAACCTGTCTTGGGGAATGGGCCGAGCGGCATCAGATCTCTGGGCCCCCAGGGGCCCGCGCACCCCCCGGCAGGGGCCCCACGCGAGGGCCGCGGGGTCAGGGGCCGGCAACTGCAAGGTGCGTGGTTGCGCCGAGGCGTGGCTTGCGATCGGCCCCGCAGGGGCCTGGGGAGCACGACGCCGTCCTCGTCGGGCCTCCCCGGGGCGCGGCGGATAGCTCTGTCGAGGTCCTCGCCCGCCCTGAGCGAGCAGCGGGTGGGCCTCCCCATGGGGCCTCTGGAGGCGCTCCCTGCTGGGGCCGAGACCGAACACGTCCGCCGTCTGCATGCCCGCAGCGGGGCAGTTGCGGTGACTGCGGCGGTCGGCTACACGTAACAGTGGCCCTTCGCTGGAGCGACCTTTGGTGCGGGCTCATCGAGGCCTCCCCCGATCGCTGAGCGCGATGCGATAGCGGCTGCTTGCGCGCTTGGATTTGGCCACTTTGCATCCTCTCACTCCGCGCGCCAAAAGTCACTCTTGCCCGGAGTCGCTGCCCTGAGGTCAGACGCTTCGAGAACATTGAGATATCGTGAAAATCGCGACTGGAGCTATCCTTTTGCGCCATTTTCCGATCCGGATCCATTTGTGAGGATCCTGGGGCCCGAATGTGGGCGAAAACGTCCAGTTCGGAGAAATTGAATCGCCAGGATCGCAGGGTGTTGCGTGTAGCCGAGGCGGCGGGGGCAGCGGCGGCGGCGGCGGCGAGGGGAGGACGTTCCACCTCGAGGACATCGACGCCGCCGAGGTGCTGTGCAGGACTGGAGGATAGGGCCGAGCGGTGGCCTGGGCGCGCGGAGCGGCCTGCGCCGAGGAGGAGGAGGAGGAGGAGGAGGAGGAGGAGGAGGAGGAGGAGGAGGAGGAGGAGGAGGAGGAGGAGGAGGAGGAGGAGGAGGAGGAGAGGAGGGGGAGGAGGAGGAAAAGGAGGAGGAGGAGGAGGAGGAGGAGGAGGACAAGCTAGGTGCGCTCGCGTCATATCTGGCGTCCTACTCCTCCCTCCCATCCCTTACCATGGCGTAGATCCCGTCTCTACTCGCACAGTCGGATGTGGAGCAGGGCAATGATCCCGAAAGGGTACGCGATGAATTGTAGAGCACGGCATGGCATGGCGTAGAAGAGCACCGCAAAGCGTAGTATGTCACAGCATGGCGTGGCGTGGCGTAGTGAAACATTGCATCACAAAGCTTTGCAACGCAAAGCATGGCATCGCACAGCGGCCCCGGACATAACATTGCATAGCATGGCGTTGAAGATCAAAGCGTAGCATGGCATAGCACGACGTGGCGCTTAAGCATTGCATAGCACAGCTTCAGCTGAAGGCATGGCATCGCGCAGCGGAACGCAACCTAGCATTGCATTGCATGCCGTGGCATGGCGCGGGAAATGACTCCAGCGCTGCAGCGGGAGCACGATTCGGAACGAGCGGAAGCGCGGAAATGAGGCCAACGCTGCAGCGGGAGCACGATTCGGAACGAGCGGAAGCACGGAAATGAGGCCAGCGTTGCAGCGGGAACACGATTCGGAACGAGCGGGGCCCGAAAATGAGGCCGGCGCCTCAGCGAGAGCAGCATTTTGAAAAAATGCAGGCGAAAACCAAACTCCGGGGAATCCTGTGTGTCAAAAAACAGTACGCGGGGGGGGGGGGGGGGGCGAAACACTCCCAACCCGTCATCAGGGGAAGGAGGAGAATAGTATTCATATTGAGTAATTTGTGGACGAGGAGGAGGAGGAGGAGGAGGAGGAGGGGGAGGAGGAGGAAACGGAGGAGGAAGAGGAGGAGGAGGAGGAGGAGGAGGAGGAGGAGGAGGGAAAGGACGAGGAGGAGGAGGAGGAGGAAAAGGACGAGGACGAGGAGGAGGAGGAGGAGCAGGATCGGGAGCAGGAGGAGGAGGAGGAGGAGGAGGAGGAGGAGGAGGAGAGAGGAGGAGAACGGGGGATCGTGGAGTCCCTGAGGTTCCAGAGGGCGCGCGCGAGGCTGTGACGTTGAGTTCGCGATTGTTTCTGTGCAAGATCTGCTCTGTGTCGTCGTCCTCCTCCTCCTCCTCGTCCTCCGCCTCCTCCTCCTCCTCCTCCTCCTCCACCTCCTCCTCCCTTTCCTCCTCCTCCTCCTCCTCCCTCTCCTCCTCCTCCTCCCTCTCCCGCCCAGGGGGTACTCCCCTCCGACTGCGGCATCATGGTCATCGATGGGACGTGCTTCCAGCATAGCCTACCGGCACAGCGGCGCCTCAAGGATCACAAGCTGCCGCTGCTCACGAGGCTGATGTATGATTTATCTAATCGGCACGTCTACCAGCAATGTACGTTCTACGCACAAGAATCCGCTTGCTTCGGCACTTAAAAGCCGGAATGGCGAAACGTTGTTGATTGAAGTGTTTTCTCTCCGTCTTTGTTGACGGCGATAAACAACGTGGTGTTGCCCAACCTTTGTGTTTCACTATGGATATTTCAGAACGTGCAGCAGAGCGCGGGCTCGCACTACGGTGGGCTAGTTTCGTTGAGGCTTATCCCAGAGCCGCTGTGCGGATACACGGACACCCAGCCTGGCGTTGCTCTCGACTACGACGACAACGCCCCGGCCACCATGTTCAACACGTGGGATTTCCGTTTTAGGCCTGCGAATGATGACACATACTACTTCTTCCAGTTTCAGTTGCTCCCCGCCGAGATGGCTGTCTTCACCAGAGGACACGCCGGCGGCTGGCCCTTCGAACTCACCTGCGACAGGTGCTTGGCCATGCTGTGGGGCAACGCCACTCGCACGGATGATGCTGTGTACTTCCGCTACGGCCGCTTGAAGCCGTGGTATAACTTCGAGTTGAGCGACGTCGAAAAGGACTGGCTTGATACGCTTGCTGGTCGTCTCTCTCTCGAACGGTTCATCGCTCAATCCAGTGAGGTCAGCTCGCTGGACGGTCGCATAGGCTTGGCAGGTATCCCTGCCTTTACTCAAGAAGTGGTCGCTGCTATTCAGAGCGAGGGTCGCGACGGAAGCTTGGTTTTCATGCAGCTCAGCAAGGGCAATCCCAATTTCAGCCCGACCCACGCCACCGTGAAGTTGGTGGACGTCCAGACGTATAGTGAGATAACGCCATATTTCCCGAGCTATAATTACTTTGGATATAGCAACGTCATCGTCGCTAGGGGATCGGAGCGTGTGTTTCACTACGAGCTTCACGGCACGTACCCTACCGTGGAAGACATGGAATGGTATGGTGGCCAGTGGCTCGTCGACCTCTTTCGCGAGATGCCGTGCCGGATCTACTACTGCGGCACGAGCTTAGAGACGAATATCACGCGTCAGCAGTTGCTCACCTCGCTCGAGATCCGCCAGACGGCGATCGCTCGGAACGCGAACAAGCGTGCCGATAATTACGATGAGATCCCAGCAAGGGAGCCTCCTCTCACGGTGCCAATTGTCAGCGCCGGCTCGGTTTACCAGCGCGCAGAGAAGTACGGCTGGGTAGGAGACCGCCAGAACTCGCGCTTGAAGCGCCACTAGATACGTAAAGGGAGGTGGTTTGCCTCGGGCGTGGATGAGCAGGAGATGTACATATCGCGTGCGTGAGAATCAGACGTCCGGGCGCCCGCGGGTTTGACCTCCTCCTCTTCCCTCTCTGGTTTTTTTCTCTCTCTCTCTCTCTCTCTCTCTCTCTCTCTCTCTCTCTCTCTCTCTCTCTCTCTCTCTCCTGGTGCCGATCCAAAAAAATCTGACTTGAGGTTCGCGGATTTTGTTGGGTGGAACGCCAGGAAAAAAAAGAGGCAGAGAGGGGGGGGGAGGAGGAGGGGGAGGAGGAGGAGGAGGCGAGGGAGGAGGAGGAGAAGGCGGAGGAGGAGGATGAGGAGGAGGGCGTTTTTTTCTTGGTTTGGGGGGGGGGGGGGGAAACACCAGGAGAAAAACAAATTGAGGCAGAGAGGGAGGAGGAGGAGGATGAGAAGACGGAGGAGGAGGAGGAGGAGGAGGAGGGGAGGAGGAGGAGGAGGAGGAGGAGGAGGAGGAGGAGGAGGAGGAGGAGGAGGAGGAGGAGGAGGAGAGGGAGGCGGAGAGGGAGCAGGAGGAGAAGGAGCAGGAGAGGGAGAAGGAGGAGGAGGAAGAAAGGAGGAAGATAAGAAGAAGGGTCAGCAGGAGGACTGGGCGGTAGTGGTAGGATCAGACAGACGGGTGGCTCTTTGTGTGCTCACCGCATGGTCTCTCGATGCGCACCTCTCTGACGCTGCGCGAGCAACGGCCCCCCTGCCGTTGCAACTTTACGTGGTCATGGCCGAATCCACGACCTTCCCCAAGTAGCAATGTATTAGTCTGCCCTGCGCAGCGCGTGCAGAGATATGCAGCAGCGCTCAGCAGCCGAACAGCGATAACACATGGGTTGAACCATGATATCCGCTATGGTGAATTCATGTAAAGAAGCACGGGCGCATTGCTGGCATTTCATCGCCGACAGCTTGGCGCCGTGTAACTTGACTTGGACCTCGGCGTGGCCGACGTTGGTAAAAGGGGGGCGTGCGCCGCCAAGTCCGCCAGCTCCTGCCCCTGCAGCATGGGCTCCGCCACGCGGTTCTCGAGGGTCGGCATCAGTTTGAGAGCGTGCTGGTTGTTTTGTTGTGTTCACTCATTTTTTCTATGTCGTTGTTAAATTGATTTGTTTGCTGTGTGGGCGCCTGCTGGCGCTCCGCCATGGGTGTGAGAATGGTCGACGTAGGTTGGAATGTCCCAGCGCAACGGAGGGTCCCCAGGTAAAGTTGCGTGCTCGAGTCACAAACGCCTGCGCGGCAGACGGCGCCGAGGAGAGGGGGCGGGAAAGGCGGAGGAAGAGGGCGGAGAAGGAAAAGGGGGCGCATGGAGGCGTAGGAGGAGCTGGGAAAAAGGAGGAGAAGCAGGGGCGAGAGCAGGGGGAGAAACAGCAGCAGCAAGGCCAGGGGAGAAGCAGGAGCAGGAGCAGGCCCAGGCAAGAGGCAGGAGCAGGAGCAGGAGCAGGGGTAGAGCCAGGAGGAGAAGCAAGAGCAGGGGCAAGAGCAGGAGGAGAGGCAGGGGCAGGAGGGAGGGCAGCGGCAGGAGCAAGAGCAGGAGCAGGGCCAGGGGAGAAGCAGGAGCAGGAGCAGGGCCAGGAAAGAGGCAGGAACAGAAGCAGGGGCGGGGCAGGAGAAAAAGCAGGAGCAAGGGCATGAGCAAGAGCAGCGGCAGCAGCAGGAGGAGAAGCAGCGGCAGAAGCACCAGCAGAAGCAAGAGCAGGACAAAAGAGAAGCAGGCAAAGACAACCACTGTTTGCACATTAGCGTACAAGGTCCTCACGGGGAGGCGGAAAAAAAGGCGGCAAACGGGTCAGGGGGCGGCTCGCTGGAAGACGGCTCCGGGGATGCCTCTTCCCAAATCGCTACGACTGCGGCCGAATTGTGTGCACCCCTGGAACTGGTAACTGTCTCCCGAATGCCGCCTGCAGTTCTACGGCTGGCGGGGGAGCTGCTAGCTACTGCTGCAGACCGTGTGCGGGAACGGGTCCACATGTCGACTCCTCGCTGTGCGTGTTCTAGTTCTTGTTTCGTGGGCTGCTCACGCTGCTGCGTCGACACAGGGCGCACTCGCTGCCTAAGCCGTTCCGCTTTGGCTGCCTCAACAGGCCGGCCGTCCAACACCTCCGCCCGAGCGCTCGCCCCAGCGAGCGATTTTCTTCTGGGCGTGCCTCTCGCGGCGCCGTTTCAGCTTCGCCCTGCGCGCCTCGGGGACCTCCTCCAGCGTCTTCTTGGAGGGTGGTCGGCCCCGGGGCGCCATTGGTCCAGCGCGGCTGC